GGGGGGGGGGGGGGGGGGGGGGGGGGGGGGGAAGCGCAAACGCGTTGCTGTTGCAGTCTTGTCTCTTGCGTAGTTGGCTGCTTGTGAATTTTTTTTGTTCGTTTCTGCGACGTATGTCTCCTGCTCTTTGCACATATCTCTAGGCTGCTACTACAGCTGACCTGCTACTGCTTCTGTAACGCTTAGGGCTGCTGCTCTGACAGCTGTGGTGGTGCCTTGTATGTGCAGCTGACGCACACAACAAGCAGCCCGCGGCACACGTTTGTGAAGGCGTCGGTGCGACGGGGTGTGTTGCCGATGATAGTTGAGGAGCTGATTGCTGCTCGGAAAGTTGCGAAGGCGGAGATGAGCAAGGCACAAGACAAGTTTATGAAAAGTGTCCTTAACGGCAGGCAGCTCGCACTCAAAATCACTGCCAACAGCGTATACGGGTACACCGGCGCTACGGTATGCTCCAATCAAACTTGTTATTGTTTTTGGTGTTGTTGTTTGGGCTGCTGCTTGTATTTACCTGTATTTGCGTTTCGCATGAGTTTGTATTGTCTCTGTGTGTATGCCTGCTTGCGGTCGTTGGTTGGATATACCCGTTCGTATTGTCTGTGTCGGTGCTTGCTCTGTTCCCCCTATTTGAGTTTAACAGCAGCATTTTGCTCCCCTCTTTGTCGTATTTATCACCACTAGCGCGTACGCAATCTGTTGCTTGCACTGTTCCGGTTTTGATCGTGTCTTGGCTGACTTGTATTCTTCGGTGATTTTCGTGACTTGTTCAGGTTGGGGGGCAGTTGCCTTGCTTGGAGGTGGCGACTTCTATAACGTGTTTTGGGAGAGATATGATTGAATATACCAAGAGACGGGTCGAAGACCTCTACACAAAAGCAAACGGCTATCCGCACAACGCCGTTGTCGTCTACGGCGATACCGACTCTGTGATGATTCGCTTTGGGACGGACTCCATTCAGGAGGCGATGGAACTGGGTCAGCAACAGTGCTTTTGTCTGCTCTATAGTTGCTGCTAGTATTGTATGAGTACAGTGTATTGCAGTGTTGCGTATACGTTATTATGTTTAGCATTATTCTTGCCTTTGCCTTTTCCTTCTTTTATTGCTATCGCCTTTTTGACCTTCGCCTGCATTTCCCCAACGACCGTCAGGGCAACAACGAGTAGGGTTGGAATCTTAAGTATTGATTGAATGGTTGAATGAATATTGGCTATTGTTGTCGGTATGGTGTTTATATGGAGCAAGGTAGTCAGTGGTGCAACGACGCTTTCCTAGTACTGCAGCCATATGCTTTTGTTGTGTGGAGTTTTTGTTATTTAGTGAAGGGTGCAACAGTGGTGCAGCTACTAAGTTAGTATTTCCGTATTCTTATTGTTAAAATTGTCAGCATTTTTCTACAGTGACATTCATGACTCATGAATGTCACTGTAGGAGCTTCCCATTTTGGTGCAAGCTCCCCCGAGCGAAGCGTAGTTGAGCGTTGCTCTGTTGCTCAGGGCGGGAGGCGGCGAACAAAATAAGTGGGGAGTTCATTCGACCTATAAAGTTGGAGTTTGAGAAGGTGTATTGTCCTTTCTTGCTCATGAACAAGAAGCGCTACGCCGGCCTTTTGTACACAAATCCCACCCACTACGACAAAATTGACTCTAAGGGCATAGAGGTGAAGCCTTCAGCCATATGTTCTTTTGTGACCGTTGTTCTCTTTGTGGCTTGTATATGATGTATCGGCTTTCTATCTGCGCCTATCTTTTGCTTTTCCTCCTTCACCTCAACAGGTCGTCTGTTGTCCTGGTTCCCCCACATTTATCTGTTTTGTCGTCGGGCTATACTCCCATGGTTCTTTTACTTGAGCATTTATTCATTTCTTTTATTTATTTATTGGATTTCATGTTGCCCCTTTATATATATATATATATATATATATA